GGGACCAGCCTCTTCAGGGGACTGAGCAGTCGAACGGCCTCAGGAACCTCGAGATCTACGCGGCGACATGATGGAAATATGCTACCTGTCAAAACCCAATGAGAAAATTAGGGTTTTGGGTTCAGAATCGACAAGGATAACATCAAATATATCACAATATGCGCCAGAAACATTGCATGCAGAGTCACAGTCAAGGAAAGTTGAGATTTTAAAGAAAGAGGGTGAACAAACCTTCAAAATCCGAGTGAAATTGCCTCCAAACAACAAACCCACCCAAATCAGAAACAAAGATAACAAAGGGAAGCCGAGAACTTGCAGAAAAAAGTCGGAAAATCGCTGGAGAATCGCCAAAAAATCGCTTCAAACCCGATGTAAAAAAGCCCTAAAAAACCCTAAGTCGAGGTTTTATAGCCCCGACTTCGCTGTGCGAGACAGCATATACTGCCTCGCATTATGAGGCAGTATGAGCTGTCTCGCATAGGTGATATCTTGTCGTTTTGATACGTATGAATACTCCAATGGGTACACGAGTCTAAACTGTTTTCCTACATTCGACGGGAAGTTTTTGGAGAATATTACTCTTGATATTCTTAAGGATAACCTGACGAACTCTCGAGAGACAAACAAGCATCAATCTGGAAATACCAACTTCAATTCAAGATCTCAACAACGGTCGAGCGATAAACACAGTGCCGGAGAAGTATTAGCTATTCTACAAAGAACTGAATAGACTAATGGATGAAGAGATCAAGAGCCGAAGCCATTTTACAGATTCTTCTACACGATCTACTCAACCAAGCATTGAAGGGGTCGTAAGTAAAATCTATCTTATCCAAAGTATCCCAGACTCTTCTATAAAAGAATACGTTTGGAATACTTTGGAGGGGGTATCTGTAGGCGTCAAAAAATGCTAATGGTATCCCAAACAAGAATTGATCTCATACTGTTTTTTGGAAAATCAAGACAGGTATGAATTGTCTCACAAGCGAGACAGACTTTGCTGTCTCGCCAGCGAGACAGACTTTGCTGTCTCGCCAGCGAGACAGTGTTGAAATGGTCAAAAACTACCTTTGTAACTGCCCTACACGTGTCCATTAACTGCCAAGGGACGTGGGAAACATCGTGGGCAAAAATCACGTGAATAACTGCCAAAATAATTGAGTTTGAAACGTGGTAAGGCAGTTAAAAACTGCCAAAAAGATGCCTTTTCCGAGACAACATTTACTGTCTCACGGGCCGAGACAGCAAACACTATCTCACCCGCCGAGACAGTAAACACTGTCTCGCCGTACTAATTCAGTCTATTGTTGAGTTTTTTGCAGTTACAGACCCCAGAGGCTATAAATACCCCCCCTAGGGTCATTTCTGACGAGGATCGAGCATATTTTCGAGCAATCCAGAGCAGAGAGAGAGAGCAGACTTGAGTTTGGTGTGATTCCTTGAGATTCGAGCTTTGACTTGATTTCAAGAAGAACGACTATCTTACTTTGATAAGATATCGTTTTAAATTCTCACTTCGATAAACGAAGAAAGAATCATAAACCCCCTTCACGATCTGTGATTCGGCGGTCCATTAACCAAAGCGTTCCCGACACAGGCAAAGTCCCACAAAAAAACAAGAATCGATAGTCGATTTTTGTGTTATTTTCTCAAAGATTGTAATTTTTACATTGTTGTGTAAAAAAGGTCTTATAAAAAGACTATTCCTTTGAATTTATTGTAATCGACTGAAGATATAATGAATTCCTCAACAAAACCAACTTTTGCTGAAAACAAACGTAGAGTGGATTGCCTAGATCTTTTTGGGCCGATGCATTAATTTATGTGAGCCATCTCGTGAATAGGTTATCATGCACTGCGATACAGGGGAAGACTCATTTGGAGCGTTGGTATGGTTCAATAGCTAGTGACTATGAGTCACTTTGGATATTTGGGTGTTCTGCTTATTACCATGTTAGTGATAGTAAATTGAATCTGAGGGTGAGAAAAGCAGTCTTTGTGGGATTTAAAGATAAAGTTAAATGCTTCAAGTTATGGGATCCACAGGACAAGAAGATAATTATTAGCAAGGATGTCACATTTGACGAGACGTACATGATGATGCCTCAAGTTCCTCAGCAGGTGGAGGAAGACTAGACAAATGAGATATCATAACAGGTAGAGGATGATGTGACTCTACCCATTCCAAATAGTATTATGTCCATCGAGGCTCCTACAGATGTGACACTGAGAGGAGATGAGATGATAGCCGGGCAGATAGAGAATATAGTGGATTGTGAGACTCAGGAGTAGAGTCATGTTCAGGAGTCTATTGTAGCGAATAGACCTAGAAGGGTGATTCGTTGGTCAACTAGGTATAACAATGTCATAGTCGCATATGCATTATCAGTGGAGATCATTGATGATATGGTTCCATCTACATTCAGGAAGGCAGAGTCTAGACCCAATTCGATCAGGTAGAGGGAAGCTATGGAGGAAGAGATGCAATCTCTTCAGAAGAACGACACTTGTGAACTTATAAGACTACCTAAGGATAAGAAAGTTATTAGTTGCAAGTGGGTATATGCGAAGAAAGAGGAATCTTCTATTGAGAACATTTAGTTCAAAACCAGATTGGTTGTCAAGGGATATGCACAGCTTGAGGGCATTGATTACAACGATATATTTTTACCTGTTGTGAAGCATTCATCGATTAGGATTTTGTTGACATTAGTGGCACAGCTAGATTTAGATTTGGTCCAGATGGATGTGAAGATAGCCTTTCTACACGGAGATTTAGATGAGAAGGTCTACATGACACAACACTTGGAATTCAAAGTTGCAGGAAAAGAAGATTTGGTTTGCAAGCTGAAGAAGTCTCTTTATGGATTGAAGCAATCACCACGACAGTGGTATAAGAGATTCAACAACTTCATGATTAGCCAGGGGTATATATGATCCATATGTTTACATGCACAAGCTACAGGATGGTGAGCACATATATTTGTTTTTATACATTGACGATATGCTTATTGCTTTCAGGAATTCTTCGGCTATTCGAAAGTTAAAAAAGGAGTTGTCATCCGAGTTCGAGATGAAGGATCTTGGAGAAGCAAAAAAGATATTGGGTATGGAGATCAAGAGAGACAGGATGAAGGGGAGATTGAAGCTTACACAGAAGAGTTATTTGCAGAAGATGTTGAAGAAATTCAGTTTTGATGGTAATGCAAAAGCAGTCAGCACTCCATTAGCTCCTCACCTCAAGTTTTCAACTAGTATGTCACATGTTTCAGTTAAGCATAAAGATTATATGTTGAAGGTTCCATATGCCAGTGTAGTGGGTAGCTTGATGTATGCGATGGTGTGTACGAGGCCAGATTTGTCACAGACCGTGAGCATGGTATCGAGATACATGCACGACCCCGGGAAGGGTCATTGGGAGGCTGTGAAGTGGATTCTATCGTATGTTAGAGGCATCGTGGATGTTGGTTTGGTATTCGAGAAGGATGAGAAGAATGTGCAGGATTGTATTGGTTAAGTGGATTTAGACTATGCTGGAGATCTCAACAAGCGCCGGTCTACTTTAGGATATGTGTTTACATTGACAGGAGCACCGGTATATTAGAGATATATACTTCAGTCTACAGTAGCTCTCTCTACTATAGAGGTGGAGTATATGTCGGCGACTGAAGCTGTTAATGAGGCTTTACGGTTGCGTGGTTTATTGGAGGACTTGGGGATTGCACAGGAGACCATTAGGGTATATTGTGATAGCATGTTAGCTATCTATTTGACGAAGAACCAGGTTTATCATACACGCATGAAGCACATTGATGTTAGATTTCATTTTGTTCGTGACGTTTTAGATGATGGAGATGTCATATTGGAGAAGATCCACACGAAGGACAACCCTGCAGATATGTTGACCAAAGTTATTTCAGATGTAAAATTTGGTCATTGTTTGAAGCTATTAAACATTCTTCAGTGTTGAGGGCCTTTGGAGGCCATTTGGGTGAACTACATTTGGCTTGATTCATTGGGCAAGAGGATACGTATGCAATCTTTTCGATGCAGCCGGTTTGATTTGTTGATTTCGATGGGGGGAGATCGTTTGAGCTCTCGTTTGGGTTCCCGACTGTTGTGGATTGAGTCTGTTGTCATGGGGTGTTTTCACGACGTCCTGGACGTAACAAGTGAGTCATTTGGATGATTTGGTGTTGGCTCAGTTTTGGTAGAAACGTTCGTCGAGGTGGAGAATTGAAGAATCGACGAACACGCGAGAATAAACAGATCAAGAAAAGTCCAGGAAACTGCCAGGCAGCCTGGCGGTCGACCGCAAGTTAGCGGCGGTCGACCGCAAATGTGCACGAGGGTCAGGAATAATCTAGAGCTGAAGGCGGTCGACTGCCATGGTCGACGCGCGGACCCTGTAGGTGTTTTTGGTCTCGGGATGAGATTTGGTCGCAGGTCACGGTCGACCGTGATACCCTGTAGCGATTTCTTCTCTGTCGTTTGGGCGCAGTCGATCGGGCAGTCGACCGCGCAGGTGTCGCGTCGACCGCACGGTCGACCTCGTGTGCGGTTTGAAGTTAGGTTAGTTATTTGACCCGGTTTGTTTTGAAGCTGATATATAATCCTAATCTTTGTTAATTAGGGTTAAAGCAAGGACGTTTTGAGCAGTCTTTGAGAGAGAATTGCTGCATCCAATTGTGGGAGATTTGTGAGAGATCTAGATGCTTTGTTTTAGGGTTTAATTGGTGAGATTTGTAACCCTATTTGTATTCTCTTGATTTATAATAGTAAGAACTCCCCCTTCTTGCCCCGTGGACGTAGGCAACTTGCCGAACCTCTTAAAATTCGTTTGTCTTGCTGTGGTATTGTGTTTTGGCTTATTGGTTATGATTTATTTCTTGTTCTTGTCGTATGGTTTCGAGCTTCCGCCGTGCACAACATAGGTCACTTAGACAAGTAAAATCAAGTTTAGTACTGGAAGAAAAAGGTATTACATCCGAGTCCCAATATCGACACATTTAGGATTGAACACATAATATACAAGTCTCAGGATCTTCTGTAGTCCAAGTCATCATGTTTCCTTTTGTTAGCTCTGGAGAAGAAGCAGAGCTTTGAACAGCTCTCCGTGGCCTTCAATGGCTGCAACTTAATCGCCTTTTTGGCAACAAATTCGCCCATATACTCCACAACAGCCTGCATTATAATTTATTATTACTTATAAGAAAACGAAAACACAGTTAAACGGATAATTGTCAGAAAAGCCCAAAACATAAACTGTATTTGCCTGCGCCTCCATCTTAGCGATATGCTTGGGTGGCACCTTCAACGGGTTCTCCTCCAGTCTAAGCACCCTCAAATGCGACAGCATCCCGAAAGAATCCGGCAAGGCCCTGATCTGATTATTGCTTACGTCCAACTCCTCCAACATTTCCAAATTGCCGATCGACCTCGGCAACGCCCTCATGTCCGCAAAATTGTTACTGACGTTCAGCTTCACGATCGTCGTCGCCAGGCACAGGCTCTCCGGAACATGCTCCAGCTCGTTGAAGCTCGCGTCGAGCTCCTTCAGCTTCCGTAACGAAGCCATCGTCGTTGGCAGGCTCTTTATGTTGTTGTACCTGACTTCCGGAAGCCCCTTCAGACGGTTATAGTCTGCGCGGAGCTCAACGAGCGATACGCAGTGGCCGATGGTGTGCGGGAGCTCTTCGACGTTGTTCGCGTCGATGTTTAGTTTCTTCAGGCTGGCCAGGCTTCCGATCGAGTCTGGGATCATGCTGATCCTGTTCGAACTCAGGTCAAGTTCGACGAGGTTCGTTAGGTGGGACAATGTGGTGGGTATGGAGGTCAACTGGTTGCCTTTCAGGTCCAGGGTTAGGAGGTTGAGGAGACCGCCGATGGAGCTGGGGACGTCGATTAGACGATTGCAGTGGAGGTCCAGGTTCTTCAGGGAGGGGAGAGACCCTATGGATGTCGGTAGCCCAGAGAGCTGGTTGTCTGAGAGGTTGAGGGTTACGAGAGTGGAGAGTTTGGATATGGAGGCGGGGAGCCAGTCGACCTGGTCCATGAGCTTGTTTGAGAGGTTGAGGACCCTGGTGCCCGTCTTGAAGCTGGACTCGATCAGAGACGCGAATTTGATCAGGCTGAGTTTTTCGCTTTGATCATCACCTGCATGCGTCCAATGAAACCGATGGATTTAATTGATGCGAAGAAATTTTCTTCCAAGTCCTTCTTGTTGGTATCTATGTTTTGTGTTCATGTTTGATTTCTTTCATATGATGTAAATTATATGCTGACGCATGCAAATATACGTTCGTGGCAAAGATGTTGGTACCTCCCTATATATGAAAATATATATATGTTTCGCCATCTATTTTAATGACTCAAATCATTTATTATGATGCATACACTTTAAAATTTATGAACACTTTTAAATTACTTAATTATAGGACCAAAAAAAATATCCAAAACCATGTAATTAGTTTTGTGTGGATAAGTATTCGTCTGTACGTAGTAGTGAAGATTAGTACGTGTAACGCTACTTTTAATCAATGTGAACTTTTTAGTCTCGAATGACTAGAAACAAGTGCAATACATAATGAATAATTAAGATAAAAGCTAAATTCTAAATAAACGATAATAATTTATTTAATAGTAAACGATTGTGATTAAAAGTAGCCATGGAGTAGAGAAAACTGACCAGAAACGTCAGCGGGTTTAACGGCAGCCACCTCCCCCTTCTCCTTATCATCCCTAATACTCCTCAGCTCCATACTCCTCTTCATCTT